TTTGTTGTTGTTGTGAATGTTGTGCTCCAGCAGGACTGGGGGCTGGATGGTGTGCTCAGTCGTAATGCAGCTATAGGAACTGCCATTGTTGCCTCATCTGATTTAAGTCGAGAGGAAAAAGGGGCTTTAAGTGGCTTGACCCTGATAGCTCAGCTCGTTTAAGATGTTTGCAGGACTATAGAGGGACAGATTGAGCCCTATAATGAGTCAGGGTAATGAATACCGTCCCCTGTAGGTAGCTTAGCCTCAGAAGGCTTTAAGTCTATGTTGTTTAATCTCTAGGCTGATTGGTCCAGGGCTCTCAGCAGGTCGCAGCCCTGCAGCAGGTACAGGTTCCCCTGCAGAGGGACGTTCACCTCACAGTCGTAACGGGTCAGCTCCGGCAGGCAAGACGCCTCGAAGGAAGGGCCCAGCAGACGGCTTGCAATCCCTGCAAAGTGAGGGAAATGGAGGCGAATCAGAAAAATATTGTGACAAGGATGCAAGGAACAGTTGGATACGTTTCTGTTTGTGATCCCAAAACATAAGAAAAGTGAGAAATAGCGGAAATATTGCTTTGAAAAAAACAGTTTTAAGTGAAAAATATGAGAAAAAGTGAGAACTTTGAAAAAAGTCCAATCTGAGAAAAAGTGTGAATTAAAAAAAAAGTTATAATTCTAATAAAAGTCAAAATTCTGTGAAAAGTCAATACAAAACAAAAAGTCAAAATCTGAGAGTTCAGAAAAAAAGTGATAACAAAAAGAAGTGAACATTTTGAAAAAAGTAAAAATTCTGAGAAAAGTCAAAACTAAAAAGTCAAAATCTGAAAAGAAGTAAGAATTTTGAAAAAAAAGTAAAGTATTTCTGAAAAAAATCTAAAGTCTGATAAAAAGCAAAACAAAATAAAAAGTGAGAATTTTGAAAAAAAAGTAATAACACTGGAAAAAAAATGATTGTGAAAAGAGTCAGAATTCTGAGAAGAAGTGATAATAAAAAATTCTGAAATGTCAAAATCTGAGAAACAGTGAGAGTCCCGGCAAGTGACAAAAGTTAAAATTCAGAGAAAAAGTAAGAAAAAGATTGCAAAAAATGCATTTTAACACGTTAGATTGTAAACACTGCGTGGGCTCACCCTGGCTCTTGCTGGAAGGCTGCAGGTTGTACGGTGAGAAGTTGCAGCTCTTTTGGGAAAAGAGTTTCTCGTTTCCTAGAAACTGAGACTTCCTGTGTTGCTGCAGACGTGAAGACATCATCCTCTCCATGTCTGAGGCTGACACACAAATACAGGTTACACTCAGAGGTGGGAAGTAGTGGAGTACAAATACTTCGTTACTTTTACATTTTTCTGGTATCAGTACTTTACTCCACTACTTGTTTTTCTGACAACTTTTTACTTTGACTTCTTACATTTTGAACACAAATACCTGTACTTTCTACTTCTGACATGTTGAACTCAAATACCTGTACTTTCTACTTCTTACATGTTGAACACAAATACCTGTACTTTCTACTTCTTACATGTTGAACTCAAATACCTGTACTTTCTACTTCTTACATGTTGAACTCAAATACCTGTACTTTCTACTTCTGACATGTTGAACTCAAATACCTGTACTTTCTACTTCTTACATGTTGAACTCAAATACCTGTACTTTCTACTTCTTACATTTTCCAAACAGGCTGGTTCCTTTAGTCTGAATGTGTGTTTGGTGGCGTGATCATTATTATTTAGAGT